ACGTGTGTGTGTGTGTGTGTGTGTGTGTGTGTGTGTGTGTGTGTGTGTGTGTGTGTATGCTTCGGTGTCTGCGCTCAGAAACCCGGACCGAATTGTAACGTTATAGGCTTAGATATAGCCACAATTCTGCGCGCGAAAGATCGTATTTTGAGGCCACAAAAGTGCATTTTGCACGCGCGCGATCTGAGTTTTGGTTGTCAAGGCAGCCAATCAGAATTTAGCAGCCTCGTCTCTGATTGGCTGGAATTATGGCATATTGTAACGCTGGGTTGTGTTGAGCACGCGAGCTGTTGGCATTTAGCGAGCACTGAGGGCGGGCATCAGGTGAGCAAGCTAGTGAAACGTTGCACGGGCAAAAGAGAAGGTCTGCACACATCCAAAAACTTATTTTAAATGCACAATTGATTTCCGTGAGCTCGAAATACTTTCTTCTTTGCGAGACAAACATTTTCTCCACAAAACTCAGTTCGCAGAATTGCGGCAGAGATGTAATCCCATAGAATTGAGCTCTCTCTTGCGTCGTCATATTTATCTATATGTCTGCTCTTCTCTTACTCCCACATATTGACCACATATTGACATTTTTATGCGACATGCAGCAAGTGTATTTTAGCTTATGTCCCGCCGGCTCAAATGTACGCATCTAACCTCCGAACCACGCAGCAGATTCGTTCTGAAATCGAATGAATCTCTTCCCATATCGTCCCTCCCTAACATTTTCGTCTCGTTTTTATTCGTTGACGAAAATGTCAATATATTTTCATCATAGTTTTTGTCATTCAGAAAGAGTTTTAGTTCGTTATCGTCTCGTTGTCGTCAGTGATAAAAATGTCGTTGACGAACTTTATGACGAAAATTATTCGTCAACTAAATTATATTTAAAAATGGATCTTCCCATAAGAACAATGTTGATGTATATATTAATATTAATATAATTAATACAATTTCAGAGATGCCAAAACGCACCAGAATGTGCCACTACAAACAACCCCCTGAAGCGAGCCTCTGTGCGGAAGTTCACCACAAGCCTCCCCTGCTCATTGATCCTCATGCTGGTTGGATATAAAGCTCCTGCAGAGAAAACATGTCCAATGTGATTATCTTTTCATTTTAAAATGTATGTCTTCCCACTTAAAGTTCCAATTTCCACATCCTGAACTAGATCTGTAATCCTCTAAATGTCCACATGTGACATCTGTATCCCTAAAATATGGGAATTTGGCAAGAGATGTGCTCTCCTATCGCTTCCCATTTCAATGACAACCAAATATAAAATAAAAATGACCAATTGTACACATAACACAAATGTATTGAAAACAGTATTTTATATTCGTAGAAAAAGCACTGATTGCCCTGATTTAACTGTTATTAAACATTTATTACAGAAGGGAAAATAGAATCCAAAAATAGAGAAATTCTGGCAAATTAACATCAACACCTAAAATTGAGGAAAAAGTAATTTAAAATATATTGATTGAATATACTGACAACTAAAATATATTGATTAAAGTATTTATTGAGCTTTATTAAAGGGATAGTTCACCCCAAAATTAAAATTCTATCATTAATTACTCACCCTCATGTCGGTCCAAACCCACAAGATCTTCATTCATCTTCTGAACACAAATTAAGATATTTTTGATGAAATCTGAGAGCTTTCTGACCCTGCATAGACAGCAACGTAACTACCACATCCAAGGCCCAGAAAGGTAGTAAGGACATTGTTAAGATAGCCAATGTGACATCAGTGGTTCAACCTTAATTTTATGAAGCTACAAGAATATTTTGTAAGCAAATGAAACAAAATAACGAATTTATTCAACAAGTCTTCACTTTATTTTTGTAAACATGGACTATTTTATCAATGTCCTTACTACCTTTCTGGGCCTCGAAAGTGGTAGTTGTGTTGCTGTTTATGCAGGGTCAGAAAGCTCTTGGATTTCATCAAAAATATCTTAATTTGTTTTCTGAAAATTAACAAAGGTCTTACGGGTTTGGAACGACCATTTTTGGGTGAACTATACCTTTAATGTTAGTAAAAATATTATTGTTCATTGTTCATGTTAGTTCACAGTGCTTTAGCTAATGTTAACAAATACAACTTTGGATTAAAAAAATGTATTAGTAAATGTTAAAATTAACATTAATAAATGCTGTAGAAGAATGGTTCATTATTACTCCATGTTAACTAATGTAGTTAACTAATGCTAACAAATAAAACCTTATTGTAAAGTGTTAACGTTAAAGCTATCAATCTATCTTTTAAAACTAGAATTATTTTTCCTCATCCTATGGGGCATAAAATGTCCCCTAATTAAGGAATCACCTATTTGATTTATTTATTTTTTTAACACATAAATAAATTTGTGCTCAAATTCACAACTTGCCTTGCAGTTCTGCCTGTGGAGGGCTGCCGACTCCGTCCCTCCACAAGATGGCAGTGTCATACACAAAGGTGAGCCGCAGTTCAGAATGCAGGTCGAAGTGTTGCCAGCCTCCAGCTCCCACAGGGGAATGAAACACGTAAGAGACGTGGAGAGGAACTCGCAGGGTCACGTATGACTGCACCAGGTTCAGCACCTTTCAAAAACACATTCAAATGAGACTGAAGTTGAATAGCTACAAATACTGCAAAAAGACGTTTTAGGATTCAAAAAAAGAGCCCAATTCTCCACTAGAGGTTGCTATTAATCAGCACTGGCTGTTAGTCAACGTAAAGTTCATCAATAAGCCAGGATGCATTTTGTTTTGATTGAATGAAACATTTGCTAATTTACATAGTCAATTATAATCAAAATACCAGGCTATAAAAATGTGCTCCTCAGTAATGAGGCTGCTCTGAACACCTGCTGGACTGGGTTTAATCAAGACGAGAAAAATCCCCATGAACGTTGTCAAATTCCCATCCTGAGGGAGAGAAGATCCAGGCTTTTCATATTCAACCAGCTCCGTTCAATATCCTCAGCAGGATCCGAGCACGTCCTTTAGATGAAGTGTTTTGAATTCATGTCTTGTGTTACGGAGCTATTGCAGACTTTAAGGCTTATTTTTGTAATAACATAGATCATTCAGACATTTAGACGCTAGATTAGGAGGGGGGAGCAGCCATTTAAGCAAGACATTCTGAAATGAAATGAATGAATACAAAAGTCAATCTCCTCTTCTATTGAGAACAATGAGGAGTGTGGCAGAAATAAAACCCGAAGAGAGCTATGGCTGTCACTAAGTGCTGTGCATAATAATAGATGAAAACAAAGAAAAAGTCCGGAAGAAGAAACCTACCTATGGAGACGTGTGTTCATGGAGAGGTGTTAATCAAGTTTATCTTGCATGTTCTGTTTAAACGTGCTATTTCCCACTCTATACATGGTCTATACAGCAGATGACTGGTACCCAAAACGCATACAATGAAGCCAGTAGTGGAAATTATGATCTAAATCTACACCAAATTCTCATTTTCTGCTTAAATAAATTTGAACATATTTTGTTCCTTAACTTTGCATTATACAGATTTCATTATAGCTTTTAATTTATTTTAAATGAACTTATGAATTTTGCATCATACTGTGTAATACTTAATATAGTGTAGTTCCTTCTTTTTATGGCAAGCCAAACAAGCAGTTATCTGTGAAATGTTGAGTTAGATTTAATAAAAAATGTCAAAAATACAGTATAAATTGTAATATTGTGAAATAAAATGACAATTTACCATAACTTTCTTTTTTCTATTTTAATATATTTAAATTGTATTTTTCTTATCATCACTCCAGTTTTGAGTATCACATGATCCTTCAGAAATCATTCTGATATGCTGATTTGCTACTCAAGAAACATTTCTTATTTTTATTAATGTTAAAAAAGCTCTGCTACTTAATATTTTTGTGTAAACTATGGTATTTTTTCCACCCAGAACAGTATTTATTTAAAATAGAAATCTTATGTAACAGTATAGATGTCTTTGCTGTCACTTTAATGCCTCCTTGTTGAATATAAAATGACAATTTACCATAACTTTCTTTTTTCTATTTTAATATATTTAAATTGTATTTTTCTTATCATCACTCCAGTTTTGAGTATCACATGATCCTTCAGAAATCATTCTGATATGCTGATTTGCTACTCAAGAAACATTTCTTATTTTTATTAATGTTAAAAAAGCTCTGCTACTTAATATTTTTGTGTAAACTATGGTATTTTTTCCACCCAGAACAGTATTTATTTAAAATAGAAATCTTATGTAACAGTTGAATAATGCCTCCTTGTTGAATAATTAATATAATAATAACTGACCCCCAATCTTGTGAAGGACATGTGAAGGGGGAAAAAAATCCAATTTGGGCCACTTTTACAATGTGAACTCATCTTAATGGAATTTTGCTATGATCTGGCTAAAACTATAAATGATAACTGAGATAAATGAGGAATCAGAATATCTATTGTCTTCTCAAACCTTTTATGTGAATTCTTTTAGCTCTAGGACAAGAACAGTTGCAATTTATGAACCACTAATCATTAGAATTCAGAGGATTCTAAAAGCGGCGGCGACGTCTCACCTGCCCATCTGTTCCGATCGTTCCCCCGCAGTCTGTGAGCAGCTCAGACATGTCATAATAACTCACAAACTCCCACAGACAGGCCTCCAAGTTCAGGTTCCTGTAAAAGCGTAGAGTGCTCTGGCCTCTGAGGACGGGGCTGTACTGATACGGCAGAGTCTCTCCGATGCTCTCTATATTCCGGCTGGCCTTGGTTAGAAATCCATGGCGTGTGGACACCTCATTAAAGTCCAGCAGATTGGAGCACCTGTGGTTTCCCACGCGAGTGCCATCGGGGCTCAGAGTCAGCTCAAAATTGGACAGTGCACGAGTGGAGACCACAGGGAGCATGCCTGGAGCACACCACATAGAAAATACATGACAATTAACCAACTAAAATCACTTTCATAATATTGCATCGGTTAAGATGAATATGTCTCTACTAATAATAAGCTATAGAACTGAAATACGAATCTGAAAAAGAAAAATCTGAATCTTGTGAGATTTAGAAGCATTACCTGACAATATTTAATGGATGTTATTATTTACTTTAAATAAAAAAAGGAGATAATTTGAAGAATGTGTGTGCTTCTCTAACAACATCAGCAATCAAAACAACTAAATATATATTTACATATATATATATATATATATATATATATATACTAATAATACCATAAAAGTAATTAATTTGACTTTTATGCACTATTTTCCTTATGCTTTAAAACCATATGCACAAATTTAGTTATGAAACACATTTCTATCATGACAACTCTCGGAGGGATTGGCATGGTAATGTACATTACAATGTTAAAGGGATCATATGATGCGATTTCAATGTTTCCTCCTTAAACCACAAACACATTTCATTACACCAAATACACAAAATAATGTTCTTTTTAGCAGCATCATATGACCCCTTTAATATGTTTGGTCTTTGCGGAATAGATCTGCTAAGTACCGAGACTTGCTACTGCCAATACATCCACAATATGCTGCTGTGAGCATGTAAGAAATACTGCTGCTGCACATATAACATGATCACCCCATAGCAGATCTATACAGGTGGAGCTGGGGAAGGTGGAGGGTTTCTGCAGTATCTGAATGTTGAGCAGCGAGCTTATTGGCTACCAATACAGGAGAGAACCAATCAGCTGTGACGTGATAATGTCATTATGTCAGATTGAGTTAAACCTATCGGACTGCGCCATCTAGAGTTTCATGTCAGAAATGTGGATTAGAACCTACAGTATACTTAAATGTTAGCGCAAATGTGATTTAAGAGCTACTGCAGACAGGAAGATTTTCACTTATTGTCTTAAATTTTCATCTTTTCCTTACACAAAGCTACCATATGGTTTTAGAAGTTTAGGAATGTAGTGTACGAGTTATATGGGCTACTTTTATAGTGTTGTTTTTGGACAATCTAAAAAACAACACTGTAAATGAACATTTTATAGCTTTCCATTTTTGGGCAATCTTCAAAAGTGTATATTTTTTGTGCTCCACAGAAGAAATAAAGTCACAACATTAGGGTGAGTAAATTATGATAAAATATTCATTTTTATAATAGTTAAATTGCACATTTTGCCTGCAGTAAAGGTAGTGTCACTGTATTGTAGGAACGCTGTGGAAAAAGTACAGTTAAAAGCAAACAGCTTTTGATTGGTTAGGAAGGTAAAATGAACGTAACCATATTTAGTCAAATGGCCTAGATTTCTGGCGTGAAACTTGTGACAATTTTTCCCCAAAATACTTTAAAATACTTTACCCTTTTATTATTTTTTTCCCAGAAATAATTTTGATGGAGGACAAACATGATTTTGATGGAAAATGTTGTTCGCAAATGTGTGACATGGCACTTCATGTTTATGCATCATTCAGACTTTGATTTAGGCTTTTGAAGAGAGCTATAATATTTAGTTTTGACAGCAAATATGGCATAAATCCTACAAGAATGCCAGCTTTTTTCGCAAGGGGATATGTGAGAGGGGTTTCTCTCAGAGGGGCTGAACTAAGCAAACAACCTGGCAGCCAGAGGGGAAATAATTCTCTCACCGTCTATGTGGGGCATGCTGACAGTAAGCTTGACGAGATTGGCATATTCAGGGTCTTCAGCGCCTGTATAATGCAGTTTGGCAGAAAAGGGCTCAGCACCTACTGTGCCCAATTTACGTGGCTGGCACATCCCTGCCCAGGAACATCAAAGACATGAAATTACTTCAAGCATATTACCACCTACTGACAGTCTAATTCCACATTGCAAATGGCATATTATAACCAGCAGCTCAGGAAGAGCATAATGTTCTTTGGTGCTGCTATACAAAGCAAAGCATTTTTATATGATTCCACTTAATGTGATGGTTTCGGGCTCACCTTCTTCCATGCTAATAGACACAATGGGGCTGCTCAGTTCCAGCCCCTCATCCCCGTTAGAATTCACGGCACGGGCTGCGCACTGCACTCTAGAACCCGCTTGGAAGTAAATGGAGTCTAGGGTGATCATCTTGGAGGAAGTAAAGAATGTATCAAAGTCAGCCTCTCTCATGGGGTTGGTGACGCCATCCGGACCACTGGGGGCGCTAATGAGCCATCGGTAACGAGTCAGTGTATCGTTGATGCGTTCGCTAATGCAGATGGAGCCTGTTTTGTCATGGTCGGGATATTTGGGATTGCAAGCCTGGATAAGTCAGAGAAATAAACAAGGACAAGAGAGAAAATCTGACAATGAAAACACTATATTTTAAAATACAAAATGCTATTCGAAAAAAAAAAAAAAGTTTTTACATTTTTTTTTACTTTTACACAGCAAGCACGCATGATCAAAAGTGACAGTAAAGACATTTTTAATATTACAAAATATTTCTGTTTCAAGTAAATGCTGGTATTTTGAACTTGCTATTCATCGAAGAATCGTGAGAAAATATATCAAGGTTTCCACTTAAATAAAAGATTTGTAATAAGAAGAAACATTTTTTTGAGGACCAATCAGCATATTAATAAATCAGCACAATGATTTCTGAAGGATCATGTGACACAGAAGACTGGATTAATGGCTGCTGAAAATTCAGTACAATCTTTTTCATTCACTTGTACTTCAAGGACCTATTAAAAACTTGATAAAAACGTCCACATAATTAGCATTAAAAATGCATTTAAAATGAATATATGAATGACGCTGGTCACAAGTAAGTAGGGAAATGTGTCTCACTGACTCTTTCTTCTGACAAACATACCGTGACGCAGACGACAGGGTATCCAGCGGGTGGGTGAGCAATTTCTTTGGTTCGTCTGACAACATCGTAATGCAGCAGTGACACAACATGAGGCAGTGAAGGGAACGTGACATCAGCCATACTATTGGTCTCTTCAATGTACACTATGGCTTTAGTCATCTGCCAATACGAGAGACATAGATTTTCAATTTACATAAACTGTATATTAAACTCCAGATACGTACCACAGGGAACATTTATTACCTGGATTTCAGCAACCATGTTCTCGTCTGGTTTCAGATGGACAGTGAAGGCCTCTCTCATCTCTCTTACGCCATCAAACAAAACCTCCACTTCCACTACATGCTCGATCTCACCAGCTTTAAACTCAACATCTACGCACACACACACACAACAAAATATATGATTACATCCACTAAAAGATAAACACATCCTAACATTTCTTCTCCTAAATGCTTCCACACCTGATTGCATTTGTCATTTGCATCCTGAACTCTATATAACCTGATGGAGACAGGAAATGCATGCATGTGGAAGCAGCTTGGAGCCACCTGCCAATCTACAAAGGATAATTAGATACGGCATATTCAAAATGCAAATGACCCGTTCTGGCCTCCAGAAGCCTCACCGAGGGAGATGGGATGGTAGTCTTCTCCAGATATGGCAGAGCCGTCTTTCGTGTGCACCCTCACCAGGGATACTTTCGAAACGTCTCCTGTCCTGTGGATAGGGATCTTCACCAATGTCATCTGCCCCGACTCTTTTGGCTCACTAACACTGAACTTTGTCTCGGCAAACTTGATGATGGGCTCTGAGAGAGGAAGATGAGAAGACAGTTTTTGTGCATTAAAAGATTCTTAGCTGAAAGAGAATCGGTTTACTGAAGACCCAAATTCTAGAAATCTGAACCTAAATGTCAGGTATTTATTTTAATATTCATCTAACGTGTATTTCAGATGAAAAATGTTTTTGTTTCTTTCTTACTGTCAGTGTTGTCCTTGATCTTGATGAGCGTTTCATTCTGGTTGCCTATGGATGCTCCGTACGGCGAGTCGCTCTTCGCGCTCCCCAGAACCAGCCTCAGTTCCTCCTCCTCCTCATGAATCAAATCATCCACCAGCTTCAGCACACATGGTTTTTCAGACTCACCTGGGGATCAAAACATGGACACCAAAGTCTGAAAATATAACCCACCTCAACATTTTTTCACCATTCAAAAAATTTATTAAAAAACGAAACTGACAACATTGTGCAATTAAACAAAGCATGACCTCCTTTTTGGACAAATATTTATGTCACTTGAATAGCAGATATCAAGTGAAGTGTGTGATTTTTACCCGTTTAATTCAGGTTTAATTCATTTAGTTGTTTGCATGTTCATTTGCTCATTCATAATTTCTTTGTACATTCATCCATTCATTTGTTTGATTGTTCATTTATTCAGTTGTATTTCCCCATTCCACATCCTAGCTTAGAGGATCATCACTCGCATATTTTACTTGAATTTGAGGTTAATACAGGTGAAGAGTGTAATTTTTTAAGCGGTTTAATTCAAGTTTAATTCACTCACCTATTTGTTAGTTCATTTATTTATTTGTTTGTTTATTTATACAATTTGTTCATTCATTTACTCAATCATTCATCTGTCCATCATTGCTTCGTTTGTTCATTCATTCATTAATTTGTTTATTATTTATTTGCTTGTTTATCAGTTCATTTGTTTCTCGTTTGTTCTTTCATTCATTCATTTCATATTTTTGTCCATTAATTCATGCATTACTTCATTCATTTGTTCATTGATTTATTAATTAGTTCATTATGTTTGTTCATTCATTAATCAGGGTTTCTACAGATCTGAACAAGTTACATTTAAAACATTTTTAATACCGCCTTATATGAAATTTAAGACCTAAACCTGTGATGGAAATACACATTATATTACATACATATGTGACCCTGGAGCACAAAACCAGTCATAAGTAGCACAGGTATATTTGTAGCAATAGCCAA